TAACACGGATCGCTGCGGATTTTCAGTCCATTTCTTGTGTAATTTGGCATACCTGAATCTTTTTGTTTCCCTATGAAATGCTCTTGACAGCCACCCTTCCACTGATGACATTTCTGATGAGGCTTCAGTGAACAGTAGACGGATCAACTGAAGGGCCAGATGCATTTTTCAGGTTCTGTCAGGTCTTGGCACACTGTGCAGTGTGTCCTTTACGAAGTGTGTCCACAGGAAACAAATTATGCACCTTTGTGGCAGGCTAGTATAACAGTGCCTAAAAATGACATTTAAAAGTAGCTCAACAACAAAAGAAACATTCCTCTGAAAATGGTCAGGTAGAACGACTGGAATGAAAATGAGCGAAAAAGCAGCCAATCTCCAACGTAAACTTTTGAAAGGTCTTCGGAAAACCTGGAAAACTGTTGACGAAGACCACTTTAAAAATTATAAAGATATTATATAGATAAAGTCTGGTTCTTTGGAAGCAAAATATAAAGGATGGAAGCGTTTAGACTAATGCAAATTGTCATATTTAAAGCAACTGTACATAGATTTTTCTTAACAGCTGGTTGTTTGTGTTTCACAACTTAACTGAGATGAACTTCAACAAGATATTGATTTGTGTGGGCTGTGCACAATAAGAAAAGGTCATGGATGTTTACGTCATGTCAGTGGCAGTAAGTCTATTGCAAAAAGCAGAGAAATTGGATGGGGGACTGGGATACTGTAATAGACAACAGTCATTCACCACTTCTACCCACTGTGTATTTGGTCAATGAATGACTCAGATTAAACAGAGAAACAACCACTCACTCCTACATATTTCTGATAAGAAATGGCAAAGAATCAAGATTCTTACCCCCCCTCCCTCCCACTTGTTTCTGAGTCACTTTTTAAATAACTGACATAAGAATCGTGTCCATCGGCAACATATTGTACGCCTCATCTCCACCAGATTATTAAAAATCTTAAAGGGTTTTCGTTTATTATTAAGCTGGCATTTGGTTACTGTACAGAGTGGCTCTTTTCTTTTAAATATTGAACAAAAGTACCATCAATATTATTTATTATTATGTTAAGGTTGAAATATTACAATTCTAAGATGTTAAAGTCTTTAAAATGAGGAAGCCAGTTACCCTGACATTTGGCTAATGCAGACTACAAAACAGTGGCACTGATCAAGCATGCCTTAATGGAGGTTAAGATGCTTCAAGTCACCTTTGCAGGGAATAATAACAGATGAGGCAGTCCACTTATTCACTCATCTTCAGTTACCTCTCTCCTAACAGTCACGAGCTCGGTCTTCAGATGCGTGATGCTACGTCCTCCTACGTTTGAGGCTTCGTGCACATTTAGCCTCGACTTCACCGTCATCTGAGAGAATGAAGGAACCGGTGCCAAGAAAGCTAGACTGACGCTTGACAGCATGTTATTATGTGCGGCGTAGAGTACAGTTAAGTCTGACCTTGCTGTTAATTTGCGGATTTGCAAGAACGCATTTGCTCAATAGACTCAAGTCCTGTCAAGATACTAAATAATGAAGGCCATTAATCAACAGCACTGTTAGGAGAAGGTGAACACTCATGTGCACGCCTGTTATTTGACTACAGATTAGGGCTGAATTCTTCAGGAGAATAAGAGAACATGCTCATTGTTTATCTCAGCCACCCTGTTTCTAAAGAAGATACGCACACACACACACACACACACACACTGTTCCTCTTGCTGTTAGTTGCTGTAGCCATGTGGTCTATTGCATAATCCAGACACCATTACAGAGAATTCCCCCTTTAAAGCTGAATCTAAGCCTGTGTGCAAGTCGCCTGTTAAGACACAACCTTACTTTTAAATCAAGGAAGCAGTGAGACAGACAGATAGACATGAATTATAAATAGACGGATAAATAAATAGGCAGACAGATTGACAGATACATAAATTGATAGATGCATAGATAAATAGATAGATTAAAAGCTATTACTCACAGCAGGTGTAGGGTAGGTGTGTGCGCAAAGCTTCCTCCAGTAATTTCATTAAATCCAGACTTGACAAAAGATCTGATTAAAAGGAGAAACAAATCAAAGTGGAAATATGACACAGAATCTAATAAGCTTTCTGACACTTCACCACTTCATGCAGCATCACTTACAGTGAAACGACGTCGGATGGGAAAGTGTGAGGCACAGATCGGACACTCTCACATAGGGCATTATCTTTTGTGCAGGTGCATCCGTGGGGGCATCTGGGCTGCCTCACTCTCCGTCCGTCAGCTAAAGCCAAGCTGACAACAACGACCCAAACCAAGAGCGTCCATCCTTTCCGTCTTCTCCATCCCCTCACTGCTCTGCTCGGGTATCCCATTCCTTCTGTCCCGAGCCGAGTACTTCCACTCACGAACATGCAACTTACAAGCAAAATCTGCGACGTGTAAAGCCAATCGGGAAATATTAACTTGACGCTTTCAGATTGTTTTCTCGTTTTGCTTTTAAAAGCCGAGGTCCTCTGTCTTGTTTGCTTTTAATGATAGAGCGCTCTGAGGTTGTCTTCTATGCTTCTAGCGTCTCAATAGGAAGGCACCAGTCCAGTGGATTTGTTCTGCAAGGGGCAGGATTACAAATGCGGGGCAGATGGGACATAATAGCAGAAAACATCTCAGATTTTTGTCGTGCCTAAGTAAAAGGCAAGGGTAAAAATCTGGCTTTTTGGAGTTGTCCCGTAGCCTAAATGCTTTGCTAAAAGAAAAGAAGAAGAAGAAGAAGAAGATGCCCTTAGAGAGAGAAAGCGAGTGGAAGAAAGAAAGAAAGAAAGAGAGATGGAGGGGGGAGAGGGGGAGAGAGGCCCCAAGGTGCGCTTTTTCTTTTTTTTTTTTTTTTAATCAGCGGTGCCAGCTATTATTTATGCGCGCTTCAGAGCCGTGCATGGCTAATGGGGGAGCAGCTATTCATGAGGCGCTCTGTGCAAATGCACCTGCCCCACTCATTCAAATGCTGCCTCTTTTCTTCCCTTCTCTGGCATAATAATGACATTAAATGTGAAAATATACGGTTAAATATACATCAAAAAGACTACTCAATCAGATATTGGTGCATAAGAAATGGCTGGTAAAGTCTGATCTCCAGACTATCATTACACAGGGGGGAAAAAATGTAGAGCAGTATTTTATATTATGTTCATTAAAATGAATGTCGTGGAATAGCATACACGGGGAAACATATCATAGGATTTCATGAATAAAATATTTTCAAATAAAAATTTCCATCCGTTTGGATTGCGTGGTTTTTAAACTCGTTTTAAATCCTTATTAAAACAGACTGTTTGCCTGACATGTATGCAAAAAGCCTTTTATGTTGTTTATCCAACTGGATGAGTATGCCTATGTGTGTTTAAATAGCTAATAGGACGACATATTTTTTCAGTAATAAATGATGAGAGCTGTGCCGTTTCTTTCCTAGATGAGGTCCTTTGATGGGTTCGGTGGGTTACATGGGAAGTCAGGGAACACTGCATTTTTGTTCCCGGACTGACTCATAACCCCGAGTCCGAATTAAACTCAAAACATTCACACAGTACAATGCCCTCTTTATTTTCCGTCCACAATTCAAATACATCCTCCAGTGTCACTCAGCGGAAGTGAACGATATGAATCAATTGCCGGTTGATCCGTGTAACTGGGCCATTTGTTCTAAAATGAATGTCGATGCTCGATGTTGTACTGCACCCCCTTTCATCCCCAATAGATTATTCATCTCACCTGGTGACGCTGACTTGCCCCCTGATAAATGGCTAATTAGATAAATTGGGTGATGGACGAACTGATAAATTAGAAAAGAATTAGATGCCCGATTAAAGAAACTGTTATCAGCCAATTACACTTACACAGAATTAGACTTTAGAGCCTCGTTATTGACTACAAACCAATGTAAGCTTTAAAATCATAGAAAAAAAGGAAATGATAAATTATTCTTGGACTTATTTCTTGATTTTTCTCAGATTCTTATAAATATAATTCGTGTAGGTCTGCGTCATCATACCGCGACTTACTTCCTACGTCATCACATGGCGATTACATTTTGTAAACAGTCAGCGGCAGTTCATAGGGAGAAAAAAAGAAGCCATGGATGATCTTGTGAAGGTAAACTTTTTATACATGTGATATAGTCGCGTCTCTTCTTTTGCAAACAAGGCTGTGAGGACGTGTTCGCGTATTTGTTAGCAGCCAGTTATCCCCCTCACAGATACGTGTGTCGGTGCTGCCTACTAACGCCGTGTTGGTTCCTGACTGCTTCACTGGTCACAGTCAGGGATGAGCGGTGTCTGTGGCGCGTGACAGGTCCAAAGCGGTCAAAGCACGAGCTAAAGCGCGTGCCTGCGTGAAATTCACAGCAGTCAGAGTCGTCGTGCACCTGCTACAGTGTCATAGCTCGTTTCTGATGACGGGACCTCCAAAATATCTCACTTTGTTCACTATTTCATCCATCATTGAGCACTTGCTCTGCCACACTGAGTGAGGGAAAGCTGCTGCAATAGTCTCTCGTTGTAGCAGTTACTCCATTTGTCTTCTTTTAGCCAGACATTTGGTGACTTTGAGAGATAAATTACACAAAAACAACTTTTTTTTTCTTATTTTTTTTTTACATCATTTAAATGTGATTTCCGATTTCTGGGTGTGTTCTATGGGTAATATCGTTGCTTATATTGATAAATAGGCTGCAGGCAAAAGGATTTCTGAATGGGTTACATATAACATAAAGAAATGACCTGTTTTTAAAGTATTTTTATGACTCTGGATTATTGTACCAACCTTTTGTTCAACCTTATTATCAATACAGACGTTCTGGCCACTTTAAATGTCTCTATAGAGGTATTTTGTTATATTCGTTGCACTTCTATTGCTACACCCAAGGCAGGATCTTTCTTGACAAAGACATTTTTAATGTCAAGGAAACTTTTCACATGGATAAATAAAGGCTATATAAAATTTACATTTCCAAATATTGATTGCAGCTTCTACTTGTGACAGGAATGTGTTTTCTGGGTAGAAATGACTTGATATCATCGAGCTATGCAGACATGTTTGACAGATTACAGGCCAACCGGATATTATTTTTTTCAGCAGACGATCACTTTTGGGGCAAGACACTGGGTCAAATTCATCCCATATCCATTAAGATGGACTTTTAGATCAACCAGTCTGGGTTAAATAAATGAAGAGATGATTTTATGGAAGCTTGAAACATTCATGAGACATGAGAACTGTCTGTGTTCCCACTAAATTTGGAGGACGGCACTTGTGGAATAAAATAGAATGGGATCATTCTAGTTTTTATGTTTTCACGTCTTAAGTATATTGGACAATTATGTGATAATAGATGCTTTTCTCCAAAAAACAGTGTTGTGAATACCTAAACACCTAACAATAAAATCACTCTCCTACTCGCTGTTTATTCATGTCAGACAGGAAACTTGTAGACACTTATTATGAAGGAATGCTTGGCCTGAGACAAAATTGACCTGGATCAAACTATAAAGGCATAGAATATGTTCTAGTTAACTTAAACCTGACCTGTTATGCTTCCTGTTTTCTTTCTTTTCTGTTCTATTTATACCCTTACAGTATTAAACATGATTAATGTTTGAAAGAATGAGGTGAGACTGCTGCAGCCGAGTTTCTGTTTTATTTTTTCCCCCCACCTTTGGGTCTCTATGGTGTCAAAGTGAGGAGCCATCTATAATATGGTTAATTTAAGCACATAGGAGCTCAGTCCACCTGCTGTTTGAACCTATTCTTTATCAACAATCAAAAGAAAGTTGACTTAAACTGATGGGGTCTTAAGAGGAGAGTCTGTTTTATTTCAGACAGAGAAAGCACTGATCAGAGGAAATATGCAAAAATGCCCTCCCTCATTCAGAAATGCATACTTTAATGGTTATATATATATATGTGTGTGTGTATATATGTGTGCAGCAGATGTTATTACATAGTGTCATGTTTACTCTAAGATCAGTCATTATCCTATTTGTGTCACAAGTTGCAATACATGTCTCCCAGTTAGGATGTACAGTACAAGCGTACGGATGCATTTTTTTAAACTAATATGGCTAATTTTGCCAGAATATGTGTGGGTAAGTCCAACATGTATCATCAGATATGATTCACAAATCACTTCCTGTGTTTCCTCAGGTTCACGGGAGCGGCGGTTATGACTCTGACTTCAGTGATGAAGATGGGCAGGGAGAGTCCTCACAGAGAGGCCTTAAAAGGTCAAATGAAGGCTACAGAATTATTTAGGCTCAATGATACTTTTTCGCTTTATTCACATTTGGCTCAACTGAACTCCTGGTACTGTATCTGTGCTGACCAAATGAGATGGGATTGTACAGACAATAATATGAATAAACACAAGTGTTTTTAATCCATTTTTTTCACAAGCTTTCTGCTATTATGTGTACCTTCTACAGGAAACATGAGGAGGAAATCTTACAGAAGCCGTTTCAGAAAGGTCGCCACTCTAAGGTGGCTCACCGCAGCTCGCACTCAAATGAAGTGGACAGGTATGGTGACTAATAGCAGATCGAAGAAGTGCTAATAGCTTTTAGCTGCTCGCATTTTACCTATGCACACTACAGTTAATGTCACTTCTTATGGGCCAATCTGATGAAATGCTCTCAGTGGATTGTTTTTTCTTTGCAAGCTATCACACATCTTGTTTTGTTTTTTTGTCTTTTTTTGATAAAAATGCATCATTTATATTTATATATTTTTTTGTTTCGTTTAGAGAAGAAGCCCGGAACAGACGAGCCCATCTGATATCCATGAACGCCGTATCCTTTCTTAATTTATCATTTCTTTTGGCTGTGAGTAGACGACGAAGAGGCTGATGAAACTGAACTTTTAAAGATATTAAAATGTGATGCGGTTGGAAATTTTAGGCTGTTTACATTTGCAAAAGTTAACATTGAACAGCAGAATGACCTTAAGCAGATGTCTCCAGTTTGAGCGGCACAAGAAGTTTGTCGGTGATTACATACTGTACTACGGGGGACAGATGGTTGACTTCAAGCGCTCAGCGTGAGTAATCTTACTCACAGTCAACTCTGGGGAACAGTCAGCTTCTGTCACTGCAGGCAAAATAATGACAATATGTCTATACATCACTGCAATCCAGTTAATCATTTCATTAAAATTGATAGTTGCAGAAGTTGTTTTTCGGTTTCTGCGCGCTCATAAACTTTGTCATTTTACATTTATTCCCCGTAGAGCCAAGGACAAAACAGATCTAGACGTGCTGCGTGAAAACCATCGTTTCCTCTGGAGGGATGAGGACGAGGAGGACATGACATGGTGATCAACTTAGTGGCATCAGTAATAATGAATTAGTTTTTTACCTGTTCAGTTCTCTTCTGAAAAGTCTATACGTTACACTAGAAGTTAGTTAATGATGTGTGTGCTGATTTTCTTAGTTGCTTGTGTTTTTTTTTTTCTGTGGCAGGGAAAAAGAATTGGCCAAAAAGTATTATGACAAGCTGTTTAAAGAATACTGCATAGCTGACCTCAGCAGATACAAGGAAAACAAGGTGAGAGGAATTTTTAAACAGTAATACAGCTTATGTAAAGCAGTTTCTGTAGTATGATATGATAGCATTTTTGAATATTTGAAAGCATTTAAAAATTGTTATATAAAAAAAGGCAGTTTCACACAAGGTGCAGGAATTAAAACCTTACATTACAGTTCAAATGAAGGTAGCACTTCATGATACCATTATTAATAAGTTATACA